CTCACGTTTGGCATGGAGAAGCTGGCCAGAACCTGATTGAGAAAGTCTTACCAGCATTCGTGTACCTGTCGCCCTTCGCTTATATGGTCTGAATAACATCGAGCCGCTCACCTTACCGATTTTACGACCATGTATCTACAGGCAAGTATCATTCCTTTCTAGGCAGGGAGGGGCTGGTGGGAAGTCTGCAGGGAAGATCTTGCCAGCATTCGTGCTGACGGGGGTGCTTTGGCTCCTCCAGATTATACAGGTACCATTCCGTTCAAATGTTTCGTCTGCGCAAAAGTGACCGGCCGACTTGCCACTGGCGAGCTTCGCCCTATGTGTAAGTGATATCTCTTAAGCAGGGAGGGGCTGGCGGGAAGTTTACGAGAAGATCTTACCAGCAGCAATGCTGACGGAGGGACATTTGTTCCTCCTGGCTCTTCAGGTCGGCTTCACCTTGCTTTTACGGCCCGCTATCGCCCAACCGATGCTCAAGTCATGGTAATTCTTGGAAGCAGGGAACATGGCAGGAATTCTGCCACGGGCTTGGAGTTGAGTTCAGGCGCTTTTGGCTGAGTATCCGATAAATGCTCACGAAAAGCGCGCACTTAAAGGGGCCTACGCCAGCGCACGGAAGGTCAAGCAATCTGGGATTTATTTAGCATTTGAACGCTGGGGTCTATGCTAGCAGATAGAACCCCAGTGCAACAGACGCACGATCCGCCTGGAGATCTTTTGTCGGCACAGGCAATCATGGTTTTAGTAAGCTGTACGAAGCCATCGATGCAAACCACCAGGTTACCTATCAACCTTCGGTTCATATCCAGTCAATCTGAATGTCACGACTGCAGAGGACTCCGTTCAAGGCAAGCAAAAAAGATGATGCCGTGCAGGATGGCTCTGTTGTACATGAAGAAGGGAAAACGAGATCCGAAATAGAAGGAGAATAAGATGTAGAGCAGGGAAATCGAAGGCTAGTATACTATTGATTCGAATGCTGGTATGCATCCACTCTCGGTACTTCTAATTTCAGGATGCTATTATGACGATCTCAGTCTATAAGTCTCCTCAGGCCAGGCAGGGCATTGTCTCCCCGATGCGGATTGGCTGGGTGCGATTTTGTTGAGCCAGCGCCTCGGCATTTCCGCAAGTAGAGGAAGCAGGTAGAGGAGTAGATTGAGGATAAAGTAAGTACTCGGTGCAGCCTTGTTAACCATTATAGTTGTGCACTCGGAGACTTGTGAATCTTGGCTCCTACCAACCGACATGGATGATTACCGAATCGGGTAATGACTTCATTATGAGTCGGCGAAGGATGTCCCTTACAAGCCGAGGCAAATCCCCCTAAGCTTACTAGTAGAATCCGCGGCGATTCTGAAGGGAAGTTCTGCCGGCTGGAGGGGAAAGTCAAAGCCTACCTTCGGTACAGATCTCGTCTTTTTTGGGGCATTTCGGGGTGTTCCTGGTGTGCTGCAGTCGACTATAAGCGTTACCGCTTCTCCAGATGATTTCCTCTTACAATTTGAGTTCGACAGATGGATCCGAGAATCTGACAGAGGTTATCATCATGATACAGTCCCCGTGGTCGGCGCTACGCCGGGAAGACCGCCGCCAGGCAGATATCATGCTTGCCACGCAGCGCCACTCTCTGATAGCTCAGTGGCTGCTGTCAGACGTGGAGCCTGAGAGTCCTGTCATCAGATGGATGTTCCAATGACGACCCGGTGGTTTACCTCAGCCCCTCTGACGGTGGCCCATTCCCGTCCAATACCTGACCCCGAGGAAAGGACGAACGAAGGAAACGGTCCAAGGTCAACCATGGGCAATCGGTCAGGAAGACCGGGGTAGTAGTCCGGCCGAGGAGATGGTTGGAGGCGAGACAGGGTTTCAGATAGAATTCCCTTTCTTCGCAGCCGGCTGTGGACGAAGGGAATCATGGCGACAAAGTTCATTTTTCTCGAGGATAAGTTCAATGAGACATTTTGATATGACGACAGCCACATCTCCACGTCCACGTCGTCTGGCTTACCAGTGACAAGACAGTCTGCCTTGCCATTTGCTCTTGAGGCCGTGGTCGAATAAAGCGCACACTAGAGGGGCTAGTGGGCAGCCCGGCGATGCTTGGTAGTGGCGGCCCTCGGCGATCGGCGTGTTTCATGTTTTCTTAGTGTGCAGATGGTGAGGGAGTCTAGCCGGAGCACTAGCAGCATACGTATGCAGGACAGCCACCGCGTCAAACTTGATGTCAATGGGCTCCAGAATGCTGGAGTTCTTTGTCTCTTGCGATGTTGAGTCGATGAGTTTCGGCTTGTTTGTCGGTCAGCTAGATAGATACAGGGCTTCCTGGATAATTTCGCCCAGAGAGTAATCAAACATGCCGAGAAACTCGAGAGTAAGCATTCTGTAATAATGTCGTGCGGTCAAATGGAATGGGAAATCTGAGTTTCCGGTCTGGACTGTCGTGGATCCCCGGTGGAGCACTGCAAAGACCGCGAAGGACACCAGAATGACTCGATGAGAAGTGGTCGACTAAAGCACTGTACGGCAGTAACAATCAATAGTAGTCAGACCCCGATGCTCTCTAAATAGTATGCAATGTTCTAATTGACGTGTCTCTTGCTATTTCTATATTTCTAGGAGACTCAATTATTCTTGAACAGTGTTGAACAGACTTCGGGAAATAAAACATGGCCCGACTACCTAGTGTCAGTAGCCTTAGGCGCCGAGGCAGTCCAGACCCAATCATGTCGGCTCCGTTTGATCCATCAATCATCATCTTCACGGATCTTTTGTGGCCCACATTCTAATCCATTCTGTCTGTCGGCGGTGCCAAATCATCTTCACAGGTTGTGAGCTGTCTCCGGCTGTTCCTGTACCTGACAGACATGTCTCTTCCATAGGCCCAGTGGTTGTGCCATCCTCCACCGTGGATGGCTCCTGATGGAGTTCCGTGGATGCGTGTTCCCCTCAGGAACAGGAACCGATTGCTGGATACGGTGAATTTCCGTTTTATTCAGAGGAAAACAAAGCAGGAACAATGGCAATAATGTTCCATTTGTCTTTCATGAGAATTGGCGCCCAGACTCTCGTTGGAAGTGTCTCTTTGTGGCTCGCCTACCCTAATAGACACAATCTTTTAAATGTGCCTCTTCCCCCCTCGACCTCTTGATGGTCTTTTCATCTTCTTCTTGTCCTCTCATCATCCTCGTCCTCTAACTCTCCTTTAGAATCTGCTTTTGCTGTTATTGTCCTGTGCAGTGCACGGTCAATAGTCATTCCTTTCTTGTGACTTTATTTGCTGCTTGCTTGCTCAAGCACACCCTCACTCCCTTTTCCACTCTTTGAGAACCCTGCTTCTCAGCTCGCTCCTTACTCTACCTTACCTGAAGACAAAAAGAGATAAAAAGAGAAGAATCAAAATGGTCTCCTTCAAGAACCTCCTCACTGCCGGCCTTCTGGCCTCCTCCGCCTTGGCCGCCCCCCACGGCCACCAGCACCGCCACATTGAGAAGCGCTCCAGCACCAAGCGCGGAGCCGCCTATAATGATGCGTCGACCGTGCAAGCCCTCGGCAACAATGGCTCGATTTCCTGGGCCTATGACTGGAACATGTTGGCCTCGGGTACTCTGCCCTCCGGCGTCGAGTTCGTGCCCATGCTCTGGGGTAGCAAGATGTTCGGCGGCTGGCTCGCAGCCATCGAGACGGCCCTCGCCAGTGGCAGCAGCTACATTCTGGGCTTCAACGAGCCCGACAATAGCGCCCAGGCTGCCATGTCCCCCTCCGAGGCCGCCCAGGCTTACAAACAGTACATCACCCCCTACAGCGGCAAGGCCAAGCTGGTTTCCCCCGGTGTCACCAACAGCGGTTCTTCCGGCCAAGGCCTGGACTGGATGAACACTTTCCTGCAGTCCTGCACCAACTGCGGTATCAGCGCCCTGGCCGTGCACTGGTATGGTAACTCCGCTGAGGAGTTCAAGACCTTCGTCAACCAAGCGACCTCGTTCGCTTCCGAGAAGGGTCTCGAGAGTGTCTGGATCACCGAGTTTGCCCTCAACAGCGACATCAGCTCCGGCGCTTCGTCTAGCGAGTCCGCCCAGTTCCTCAGCGAGGTTCTGCCCTGGTTGGACTCGCAGTCCATGGTCAGTCGCTATGCCTACTTCATGTGTGCGGATAACTACCTGGTCAGCGGAAGTAGTCTCACCTCCACTGGTCATATCTATGTCTCTTAAAATTCTGTATTTACTGTTGTCCTAGTCTTCCCATGATCAGTGGGCGAATATACGTATACCTTACTACATAAAGTCTCTGTGGAAACTGAACGAAGCACTGTGTACCCTAAGGGAAAAAAAAAAAAAAAAAAAAAAAAAAAAAAAAGGAAAAGAAAGCACACTGTATACAAGGGCCAGTCTAGACTCTGTATCTAGCATTGCATTTGTCTATAGAATTCTATTATTCTGTTTCAAATCAATTACAATGTAAAGAATAGATCCATAATTTATAACAGATTCATTATTAGTTCTACCAGTTTACCCACAAAGGGAAGGTGAAACTGTGAAAGATGTTGATCAACATCAGAGGAGGGGTCTTGCCTGTTACTTCAAAAGCAACTATTTCTGTGTTTATCTTCTGAACCATGGAATTGCGGGAAGACAGCAATGGAAAGCAATCTGATTGGTGGATATTATATAATTTCAAACACGAATGCTGCAGACTCAATGCTGATTGGGAGAACCACTGTTGATCTGGTTAACCCTGAAATTGAACTACAGGCACAAAGCATTATAGAAGAATATTTGGTTGACGTTCGGTTAATAAGGGTAGAATATTAACGAATTGGGTTTTGGTCCCATGTGAAATCAGTACCCTGCTATGCTGAGTTGAAAGTGGCTCTTCACCGCATGCTAGATATGAAGATGAAGATGTAGACGTAGACTAGCGCATGAGAATATAGAAAAGTTAGTACAACTCCTGACGCCGGGGTATCCTAATATACATCCGCAAATGCAAACCATCCGTCATTCCATCAGTGTGTCGCCGTCTTGGTCTTTGGTCTCGTCAGGGTCGCCCCCCTCTTCGGATTGCGGATTGACTTTGAGACCGTTCACAGCTTCGTCGGCGAGGACGCCATTTTGGGCTTTGTCGATGCCACCATGGTCAGTACCGTCTCCATTCACTTCAGCTTTCACGACGACATCGTCGCTTTCGGCTGCTTCTTCCTTCTCCTCCACCTCCTCCCAGAGCCGTACTGTCCCATCCAGTCCGCAGCTCGCCATGAGCCGCTGCTCCCCCAGACGGCATGTATCCACGCCGAGCACCACCCCATTATGCCCCTCCAGCCGCTGCAGGATCTTCTTGCTCACCACATCCCAGCAGAGGATCGATCCGTCCTCGCTTCCGCTGACCACAAACGCTTCCGGAGGTGCCCCCGGCAGGCCATAGATCCCAAACCCGCCCAACAAGCTGTATTTCCGATTCACGTGGCCCTGGTACGTCTTTAAGCATCGGCCCTCGACGTAGTTCCACAGCCGCACGCAGTCGTCCAGCGTCCAGGCGAGCACAAACTTGCCGTTGGGCGAGAACTTGACCGCCGTCACGGGCGGGTTGTCCTCGTGCACAAGCGTTCGCAGACACTGGCCCGTCGCCGTGTCCCAGATTCGAATCAACCCGTCCGTGGCGCATGAGACGATGAGCGTCCCGTCCCACACGACATCGATCCCGCTAACTGGGTCGGAGTGCGCCGGCAGCGATCGCATCACGCTGGCGGACCGAACATCCCATAGGAAGACCGCTTCATCGTAGGATCCGCTGACCAACATGTTGCCCTTTGGAGAGAAGGCGATTTGATAGACGTAGTTGTGGTGCCCAACAAATGGAATCGGGTGAGCTTTGCCCTGTCAATGGAAGAAAGATATTAGTTTGGTCAAACCGCAGACGTAGACACAGGGCACTACCGTCAACACATTCCACAGCCGGATGGTCTTGTCATCCGACCCCGACGCGATTGTGGCCCCATCCGGACTCCAGCATATTGTGGAGATACCCGCCAAATGTCCCTCAAATGTATGGATGAGCTTCCCGCTGCGCGTATCCCAAACCTTGACGGCTCCGTCGGCCCCTAGATACGTCAGTCACACCCCATCTCACGATCGTCCCTGAACAGATGAACATACCTCCACTGGCGATCATGGTAGAATCAGGAGAAAACTTCACCGCCGATACCCCCCGCAGATGCCCTCTGAGCAAGAACTTTTGCTGATAAGTCAGTTTCTCCGGCTTGGGCGGCGGCGGAGGGGCCGGCGGAGGCACTGGCGTAGGCGAGCGGTCCGAATACTCCTGGTCAACATCTACATCCCCCGTGCTCTCCTCCTCATCTGCCTCAAGCTCGTCATCCTGATAGCGCTCCGACAACTGCTCCTGGGCGCTGGTCTCCGAGTGCGACGGGCTGCGTCCGCGGTTGCGGGACCGCCAGTAGACGTCGGCATCGACGGCCAGTTCATCAGGAGATTCTGAGCCGCTGAAGCTCCGCGTGCGACGGTAGGGTCGTTTAGGCGGGTACACCTTTTGCGCAGTCCAGCTGACGCGACGACGTTGCTCGTCATGGTCGGAGAGAGCCGCCAGCTCATCCGACGAGGAGTCGATTGGCGAATAAACATGGTTAGGCTCGGGAGTGCTAATCTTCTGCGTAGACAGACTCTCTAGTCGGCGGCGTTTAGAGCGATGATCTGAATTGTCCATTTGGGCCGTGTCAATTGACTGTTACGAAGCTAGGGATGTGAATCTCAATGGCAGAGACTTGTGATAACAATCCCGCGATAATGAAAATCACGCGGGCCAATGACGCCTTGCGGCCTGAGGCGGTGAAGACGTGACTTCATCGTTTTGTCCTCAATTTCCAGGCATCGCAGGCTCCTGATTCTGGCGAGAAACTGCATTCAATTCATTTCTGCCGATTCGTCAATTCAAGAATGCTTCTGATATAACATTCATCGATTGCTTGATATATCGACAGCCACCATGGGCCCCTCTCGATCTCCCTCTCCGTCGCTCTCCTCCCCGCCCTCCGAGATCCGCATCCTCACCCTCAATTGCTGGGGCCTCAAATATCTCGCCAAATACCGCCATGAACGACTGTCGGAGATCGGCCGTCAACTCGCTCTCGCCGATCCTCCTCCCCAAATTGTCGGTCTGCAAGAATGCTGGACGCAGCAAGACTACGAGAGCATCCGCCAGCAAACCAGCCACATCCTCCCCTACGGCAAGTTCTACTTTGGCGGCATCTTCGGTGCGGGACTAGCCATACTCTCCAAATGGCCCATTGAAGAAAGTACCATGTACGCCTACCCATTGAACGGCCGGCCTACTGCCTTCTTCCGCGGCGACTGGTTCGTCGGCAAGGGCGTCGCCTGCGCGCGCATCCGTTTCGGACCAGGCGTCGGCGACGTCGCAGAGGTATTCTGCACGCACCTTCACGCCCCCTACGAACGAGAGCCCAACGACTCGTACATCTGCCACCGAACGGCGCAGGCGTGGGAGATCGCCAAGCTGATGCGTGGCGCGGCGGAGCGGGGACATCTCGTCATCGGACTCGGTGATTTCAACATGATCCCCTCGAGTTTTGCGCACCAGCTCATCCACGCGCATGCGCCCGTCCGCGATGTCTGGCAGGTCCTGCATCCGGACTCGTCTGTTGGTGCCGCGATCGACCCGCCCGAGCAGAGACGCAACAGGCCCGTGCCCACGGCGGAGTTCAACCTGGTCGAGAACGGCGCCACCTGCGACGGCAAGTTCAATACCTGGCGGTGGAGTAAGGAGGATCGCAAGCGTCTGGAGAAAGGAGAGGATGTGGTCGTCGATAAGGACGCGCCCTGTCCCCGGGGGAAGAGGTTGGATTACATCTTCGTCGGGGACGGCGGGTACCCGCCTGCCTATCCCGCTCCGCGGTGGTCGGTCCAATCCGTCGGCGTGGGCATGACACAGCGGCACCCGACACTGCGTTGCTCGCTGAGCGACCACTTTGCCGTTGAAGCTGTCATCAGCCGGATGGCCTCTCAGACAACAGAACCGAAGGAAGCTGTGCATCCCGTATCCAGTGCCCCAAACGCCAGCTGTACGCCGGACACATACGACCGCATAATAGAAATGATTGCCAAGTACGTCCGCCGCGAACGCTCCCAGCGCCGCTGGCGCTTGGCCCATTTCGTGGCGTCGGTTATTGTCTCGATCGGCTGCTTTGTTGGGTCCTGGTGGACCGGCGACCATCTCCCGTATGTGGCCTTCATCTTGTGTCTGGTGAGTACGCTGAGCTTCGGGGCGGGTATCTTGGATGGGCTGATTGGGGGTTTATTTGTGTCGAGTGAGTTGCGGGCGCTCAAGGAGTTTGAGTGGGAGGTACGCAATGCGAAACGCATCGTTGAGCAAGCGGGTGCCCGGGGAACGACCAAGATTGAGGAGAGTCCATGACGTGGGTTGTTAGGCTTATAATATTACGACTGTATATATTTCTACCGTGGAGGTCGCTAAGTGTAATAATATATTAATTTACGAGAGGACGTGGAATAGAGTTCAATGAGTGTCATTTCAAGACTATTCGTGATCAATCCATGTCATGAAAGAGTGAAATGGAATCCATCCATCACCGAATTGCATTGCATCCAGCAGTCATGGCAGCCACTTACTCGGCACACTGGCGCTGACGCTCGTCAAAGACCTTGAGGGCTTCCTCGGCAGCCTTGACACCACTGAGCACCATGGCGCCAAAGGTAGGTCCCATGCGGTTGAAGCCATCGATTTCAGACAGCTCCATGCCACCGATGATCAGACCCTTGGCGACCTCACGGGTGTTCTTGACAATAGCATCCTCGGCAGAGTTCATGTCGAGGCCGCGCATGCCACCGAGCTTGTCAACGGTGTTCATCGACACGAGCCTCTTCGCGCAGAAGGCGCCAAAGGGGCCGTCGTGACCGGTTGTGCTGATGACGAGGGGCGCATTGATGGTGTTGGGGTCCATGCAAGAGTGGTCGTCGTGGTGCAGGGTGACGAGGGTCCAGTTGACGACCACGCCGGCAATCTGAGTGTCCTTGGCGTCACCGCTAGCGGAGGGCCGGGTGACCAGGTCCTCGACCGCGGTGGCGTTGAAAAGCTTGACATTGGGGAAGGAGAGGACCTTGGACATCAGGGTGGAGGTGAAGAGGGAGGCGTGCTTGACAACGACGAAGTTGGGGTTCGCCGGGTCTTCTTCATAGGGCACGCCAACCTCATTGAGGAAGACCTCAGCAGGACGACGGAGGACCATGGCGGAGAAAAGCTGGCCGCCGAGCCAGGCACCACCACCTGGGAGGAGTTAGCTTCATAGGGTACGGTTCGTAAAGTGTATACGGACCAGGAGAGACCGAGGCCTCGATAATAGCAATCTTCAAGTCAGGACGAGCTTTGGCGAGCACGTACGCAGTGCTCAGACCACAGGAGCCAGCACCGACAATGACGATGTCGCTCTCGGCATACTTGTCCAGATCCTGAAAGTAGCGTCTGGTCATAGCACGAGAGACCTGGCTCTCACGGATAGGGGCAAACTTGAAGTCATCCCACTTGCCGCCGAAGTGGTCAAGGAGGTGAGTCTGGGAGGTTCCAAAGGCAGGAACAGTCTCAGGGGCCACAATCTTGGCCTTGAGGCTGGGAGATGGGGCCACTGCGGGCTCAAAGATGGCAGCTGGGGGAGACATTTTGCAGTTTTTAAAGAGTCTGTAACTGGTTAGCTATTCCACGGACAACAGAGGGAAGGCATGATCCTTTCGCTGGTATTATCCAGATCAAGTTTTGACCGTATAATCTCAGAACGAACCCATCCATTGGCACCGTGGCTCTCTTGGATGCACTCCAGTCAAGAGTTACAAGCTCCAGGAAGAGATACACGTTGTTGTGTCAATGAATGAGAACGAACACCGGCCCACGCCCAAGATTTACCTGAGATACCTTGATCATTGAATGAACAGCCCAGCCAAAGTGATTCCATGGCTTCCATCGATAGAGAACGACCCAAGAGGGTCGGGTCACAGGTGTGTATTACATTGCAAGTGGATAGCGTTGGCCTATAAAGTGGTTAGCAAACTACGAGAGAAATCCAAGTGAAGAGAGGAGGACTTGTAATAGCTGTTGATAGAAGTCTTCTGGATGGACGATGGTAGGAAGTGCGATGAAGAGAAGAAGAGAGAGAAGATGAAAAGGTGGGGGTGGCAGGAGGGGTAGTTTAAATAGTGTGAGTAATGAGCATACATGCAGCCAGACAACTACATCCTGCATTGCATCGTACCTTGGATAAAAGTTCGATCATTTCCCTCAATTGGATAGTTTCATTTATGATTGACGTATTAACGGATCAAAAACAACTCAAAACCATGTTTATTAGAATTCAATTGGTGAATCTGTACGCTATCCCCTCCAACGACTCCCGGAAATCCCCGCCATCGATATGGATCAGTTTACCCGGTGAGCTTCTCAAGTAACCGAGATCGGCGTCATATTGACGGGATGGACATCATTATGTCAACAATCGTGTTAACCCACTTGATTCGATGACTCACTTGATCGTCGAGACCCTCAGGGACTCGAGACGTAAGGCGATTCTGAGGATGTGCGTCCTTTGACCCGCTCTCCACCAGATATGAGGATGCAGGACTAACGGAGTACAGCGATCCGATTGTCTACTTCATAGCATTTAAAAAATCCTGTTGCTACATCCTAGCTGTACTGGGAGATTGATAGCAGATCTGGGTACCCACTGGCACGCCATACTTGTTGATCCAGTTTTTTCTCTTGCCAGCCTTCTCAATCGTCTCCGCCCGTTCCTGCAGCATGTGCCGCCCAGTAGCTGCTGCTGCATCGTCGCTGAAAATTATCCGGAGACACAACATATCGCACAATTCCTTCTTCTTCACGGTAGACGTCCAGGTCGTCTCCAGTTGAATTCTCTCGCCTGTCTTCGGGACCCGGCCTGCAGGATACACGTCCCCGATCAGAGCGGCGACTCGCCCGAGGTACCGACACCACCATGCCTCCTGCGCCGACACGCATCTGCTAAGCTGATGGTGGAATGTCTGGTCTGTGGGAGGGAGGTCGCCTTCCCACCGCTCGCAGAGGATCAGCGCGAGCAGAGCGCGATCAACATGGGTAAGGTTGTTGATTGACGCCAGAATCCCAGTGGTTGTGCAGTGAACCGCAGCAGCGGACTGGCAAGCCCGGTGCACTTGAGAATGCGCGTAGAGCATGTTGGCCAGAGCAGTTATTAAACTAACATTAAAGGATTCTGGTGCTCGCAAAGACGCTTTTGGTGATGGAGAGGTCGGCAATGCCTGTAGAAGAAGGTCACTGATTGCCGTTGCAGATGGAGGCGCGTATGGCGACGTCGCGGCTAGAAGAGGGTGCTCTGCCCGAATCTCCTGTGGAAGTCGATCAAACAAAAAGCCCTCGCGTACTCCTCCCTGACAGAATTGTATATGCGTAATGGCAGGTAGAGCGTCCATGATGACATTGACCAAAACAGCCACCGCGGGGATCTGCGATGCCCGCCGCTTCGACACTCCAAACACCCGGACTTCAGAATCCGAGACTGTCTCTAGAACGGATGCTGTATCGTGGAAATCCTCCCTGCGCGCTCTGTAGCCATTGATAATCGGGATCGGGTACGGGTTGACCGTAGACTGGTTCATGAGCATGTATCCCCAGCCTCTAAAACCCCCACCACAAAGATACAAATCAAATGTTCCACTGCGATTAGCAGCCTCAGCGAGACGCTCAGGAAGCTGTAGACGCGCGTATGCATCCTGGAAATTTCTTGTCATCTCCTCCTTCAACTTTGCCTCGGCGTCCCCGCCTTGCCTCCTCGCCTCTTCCCAGCGCAGCTTCAACGCCGCCGCTCCGTACGGGAAACTAAACGAACCCAGGGGACTCGTGCTCACCACTCCGTCCTCCTCCATCACCCAGGTAATCTGCGTACTCCCGCCCCCAAGATCCATCGCAAGTCCCGCCACAGAATGTGAGCTACTCGCGATCCCCAATGCCCCGATACGCCCCTCTTCCTCTTTGGAGAGCATGCGCACCTCCCAGCCCGTGCGGGCCTTGATCCGCGCCCGGAACTCGTCAGAGTTGGGTGCGGTGCGTGTGGCCTCTGTAGCAAGGACGTGGATGTTGCCTGGGGGTACATAGAAGTCATCGCAGGTGACTTTGAACCGCACGAGTCGGTCCACAACCTGCTCGATGATGTCTTGCGAGATGGGGCCCCGCACCCTCTGCCCGTTCTCCGTCTGTGAGAATTGGGCCTCGTAGAGGGAGATCCCCACCCGGTCTTGGTAGATTGTCGGCAGGAGCCGGGCTGTGGGTGGGGAGATGTCGGTGATGGAGAAGCGAATTCCATTGCTGTTTTCTGGTCAGGTCGCTGAAAAGTGTAGATAGCTGATGCTCTGGCAGCACGAGTAGCGGGAGAGTTTCAGTGCTCATAGCTTACCTTCCCATGTCCACCAGGCCATACATGTTGGCCGTATCATTTTTTGACTCTATACTCATGTTGACTGCTCATATCTCAGAGACCGAGTATGAAATTGGATGCACCACAATGATGTTGGTATCCAGAAGGCGGTACCACTCAAGCGCTTTTACGGCGACAAAGGAGCGACCAGAGCGACCTTCCAGTGAAGATGAACCTTCTTGGATCCACGAAAGAGGAGCTAGACACGATGCAAAGTTTACCTCTCACCGTAGAGCAGTTGTTAAAAATTGACTTTGGCGATGCGATGGAAGACAGGACGAGGTCAATCGGAGAAAGTCTGCCCCACCAAGAAAACACACGCAAGGAGCTACTATCACTGGCAGCGATGCAGCCATATTCAGATCGCCCCGTAACAATACAATCTCGAGAACTAGACAAATGGATTTATAGAGATCTGTCATCAAGTCTAGACATAACATGACTTTGTTTCCAATCATATTCTTGGATCATCCCAGCCATCCATCTTAGCTGCATATCACAGCCCCTCCCGCATTTATATATCAGACATCATTTCTAATCGTCAAAGCCGTCATCATAATATCTCATAAGACATAGCGGAATCTAGATCCATAATTCTCCTCTGCAACGCTATCATCGTTTCCATTGGACCCTCCTTCGGCAGACTCCTCGTTCCCGGTACCATATATCCGGTCCAAGCGTTTGTTTTCCCAGACCAAAAGACACCGCAAAGTGAGTGCTAGGATAGTCGTAAATATCATAAAAGCAGCGCAAACTGATTGTCCTCGAACGTATCGAGGCGCATCTTGTTCGTGGAAGATGTTGGTGCCCAGAAAAGGGCCGCATTGTCCGACCAGGTTGAGAATTACAATCCCCATACCTCGTCGGGTGTCGGATCCTTGATTATCTAGATGGGCTGATTAACTTCTGATCAGACGATATGAAGATGGTGATGACGCACTCAATACCCAGGGAAGTATATTAGCAATAGAGGGGAAAACTCCCACTGCTGCCAGAAAAACGCCGAGATAGCGGACCCCGACTGAGGTGCACGTGGCGAGCAGCACATATCCAACAGCCCCAATGAACGACAACAGAGTAATCATCAGTCCTCGCTGTTGCAGTCGATCGGCCAACCAAGTTGTGGCAATTGTAACAAGAAACGAGGCAAAGTATGGTGGTGCTGTGAGACCCTGGGCGTTGATCGACGTGAAACCCATGTCTTTAAGGATGGTGGGAAGGAATACAGGGAGCGAAGAAAAGCTCACATTGCAGCTGAAGTACATCAACTGTAATTGCGTATCAGTACCACTCGCTCGAGAGTCAAGGGTGCACAACATACCGCCGTGATCCAGGCTTTGACATCCAACAGGGTACGGCCAATATCCTTCCAGTCAATGCCTGCTACACGCTCGCCCTCGCCGCTCTTCCGGAGCCCTCTTGCTCGTGCAACCTCTTTTTCTTCGTCGTTCAGGAAACGGGCAGACGCCGGGTGATCGGGCAGGAAAAACCAGGCAAGAAAAGCAGCAAGCACAGAGGGTGCCCCTTCCACTAGGAATAATAATCGCCAATTGGCCAACTTGGAATGGCCAGACGTGATTCCATACGCCAGGGCGCCTGCAAATGTATTGGCCAGAGGTGCAGCAGAGAAGAACAGCCCAATACGCAGACCGAGTTCGTGACGGCGATAGAAGAAAGACAACAGATACGGTGTGCCAGGTCCAAACGCGGCTTCAGACACCCCAAGAAGGAAGCGGAGGGCCATCATTCCCTCCCAACTCTGTGCCGCAGCTTGACAAGTCGCAACAATGCCCCTGGAACATTTAGGAGGGTGGTCGCACACGGAACCGGGTCGTCATGTGGCACTTACCAGCTCATTACAGAGATCGCTGCCCAGCGATGAGGTGGCAGAATCTTCCACATCAAGGCTAGAAACTCGAACAGCGTGTACGCGATGTAGAAAATCGTCAGAAGCCAAGAATAGCGCTGTCCGCTTAGATGTAAGTCTTGTTTCATCCCAGCTATGTATGCATTGCCTGTCTATAGTCAGATGTAAATCTTGGTCCACTCCAGTCATAAAACAAACCTATGTTAGAGCGATCGAGTAGCCCCAAAAGATCTAGGCTCAATGTCCTCGTTAGAAACAACATTTAGAGTCGACAAGCCGGGGGGAGAACTCACACAAGAACCCCATAACTGTCGGAACCCTTAGATCCAATTTCC